TGTCTCACAAGGAAATAATTTAAATTTTTAATGAGTTTTCTTTTTTTCCATTTCGAAATAATTAAATGCATGAACAATTGGCGGTATGACGACACTTTGCTCGAAAATACAATATAAGTAACGTATTCTTAATGACTTTACTTACCTAAAACCATACGTAGCACTATTTATTATCATTATCAAAATTTTACCTTTTTATGTCAACTCTAAACTTTTGAGAATTGCTTTTTACTGACTTCCTGTCAAGATTTTTTAAGTCTGAAAGTGTTTTTCTCAAAGTAAACTTCAGGGAAAGTTATGATCAGTGAATACATACAGCTAACATATTATCTGTTCCTAAGCGTTATCTCCTGAATGGCTGTAGCTATTTTGAATTTTTGACTCATTTTCCAAGAAAAATTTGTGGCCTCTTTAAATTTTTGGTAAGTATTTCAATACTTTTCATAAAAAATCCATCACAAATTCAAAGAGGCTACGAATTTTTTCGGGAAATGAGTCACAAATTCGAAATAGCTGCAGCTAATTAGGAGATAATGCTTAGGAACAGATATTATGTTATCTGTATGTATTCACTGGTTATGATAAAGTATGAAAAGTCCAACAGAATCAATAGTTGTCGTTTTATTTCATATGTGCGGTAAATTGAAATGGCTCAAAAATTGAACCTCTAATTATGAGAAAACCGACCTGGCACACTTTGTATTCAACTTTAAGACACTGAAGGACACCCAAAGTACAATTGATATGAACATATCTCAACCCTGGAATCTGACACATAGCCGGCAAATTGAATATACATCCGAATTCTTATTCTTTTCAATAAATAATAAAATAACGGCCGGTTTTTGTTTGTCTATCTCTTCAGATCGGTTTGATATTATTATTATTATTTGTTATTTCATTCGGTAGATGTGTAAACACAAATACATAAAATAAAATCGGAAACGCAAAGGGGAAATATCTAGTGAGATCAAATTTGGCCACATTTTCCTCAAAATTGAGAGATAATTTGAATAAAATAGATCGCATTTAGAATGCGTCATCCAAACATTTTATGTGCTTTTTGCAACAAATTAGTTCAAGACTTTTATTCAAAGAATAGATTTCCATATTGCCCAGTCGACTACCTACGCGATCCAAATCAAGAACTAAAATTATTTGGTCGCTTTTATTGAAATCGAGTGCAGAAATATTGTTTTCTTATTCTTATTTAGTTTGATATTTAGTTGGCAAGGTGTAAATTGAATTGTTTTGTATTATTCAAAGTGTAAAATTAGAACAAAAAAGAAGCTAATTATGGGCAACATTATAATAAGCGAGTGATATTGTTTGGCATTACAGCATTTGTATACTCCTTAAAATATATTTCGGTCCATTTGACATCAAACGATTATAGCGAAAAACAGAGAAATCAGTGTGAACCAGTCCTAATAAATTGGCGATTTCACTTGCAGAAATTTTTTCGACAGCTCTAACTTTACAGAGCTCGCTACATTGCTGAGTTCGCTGCGTTCAGTGTAAGGAAGTCTGGTTTACATTTGTTCATATTTCAAAAAGACCGAAATTTATTTAAAGGAGTATACATAAAGGGTTACCCAACAAAATCAAGAAAACGAAAATTCCGAAACGTCAAAACGTCAAAAAAAAATCTCGAAAAAAAAAATTCCGAAAAAAAAAATTCGAAAACCAAAATGCCGAATCCAATATACCGAAAACCAAAAACGCAGAAAAATTAGTTCAAAGTCCCATTCCATAGAACCGTAGGGTAATACTATTGCTCGAAAATACTATTTATTCATCACCTATATCGCCAATCAGAAAATACTACTATAATAAGCCATCTACGGAGTCACCGCCCTAATAAACTATCAGTGCATCTAGCGCTTCGGTACAACAACAAATATGTATATTTGTGCATCATTTGCAAGGTATTGGCGATAAAGGTGACGAATGAATAGTATTTTCGAGCAATAGTATTACCCTCCGGTTCTATGGAATGGGACTTTGAACTAATTTTTCTGCGTTTTTGGTTTTCGGTATTTTGGATTCGGAATTTTTTTTCGAGATTTTTTTTTCGGCATTTTGACGTTTCGGAATTTTCGTTTTCTTCATTTTGTGTGGTTACCACATAAAGAATAGATATAATTCAACAATTAATCAACAGGATCGTAAATATAAAGAGAAGTAGAAATCGATTCATTTTGAATAGAATCTAGAAGTGTCCAAACAATGGTGCAGCAATCGCGCCATAAATTTAAGAAGCAAAATTACGCAAGAACATAACAAAAGAATAGACTTTGTTTGTTACCTGGAAGTGAAAAAGATGGAAAATGAAATTATTAGAGAATTATTCTTAGAAAATATACCTTACTTCAATTCAAAACTACGATAGATTACAAACATACTTTCGCAAAGAGATCCCGGTTAACAACTCCAAATGGCCCCACATCGAGAGTTACTCGATTTTGCCTTTGGCTAATCAGTTGCATCAAGTCCTTCTGCAGCTCACAAGGTAAATCTACCCAATTGCTATCATAGAGAATATCATCCAATCCATTATCCTGGACACCAACCGAAATGTAAATCGAAAATTGAAAGTTTATTCGATATTCATGTGATACAACATGACACTATTGAATATGCAATAAAATACGTTACCTCAATATCTTGGCCAGTCTCACATATGAAGTAGAATTGAATCCATGACATCACAGCCATTCCATAGCCTGCCAGGAAACCCATCTGAAAGGTAGACGAATTGTTAAAAATATTCGAATTTTGTCTGTTCAAATTTGAAATTGAAGGTATGAAAATGGAGACTTACAGTGTATTGACAAAAAATGGCCATCGCAATCGAGTAAGTGAACAGAGCTGGTGTCACTAAGGTTCGCCAGTACAAGAAATCACGAAGGCACGCTACAAAGCTGTAAAAATAGACAGTGTTTGGAATTAAGACATTCTTCGAACTGAAAAGGAATCGATCAAATCTTACTCTTCATAATCGAGCAATTGTTTTGTTATATTCTTGAAGGCTAAGCAAAGCCGTAGCTCAGATACCTCCTTTCTTTCATGCGATTCGGTCAGTTCCTTGAGTCGGTTCTTGATCAGAATCGGCAATACTTTTACCACATCTCCAAAAATTGCCATTGCTATTTCCATGCCTATATATAAAAGCCCACCATGAAAAAAGACAATTCCCTCAAGTAACATATTCATAGCATATTCTTTTTTTGGGTCTTCTTCAGCGAACGGAATTTTCACTTCAATTGTCGTTGTTTTAACTCCTTCCGTGATGTAAAAGTAAATAGGCCCGAGGATCCCAAACCATGCTGAAACAGCTAATAACCCTAGTCTGATAAACAAATTTTTCATAGTCATATCCATTTGATCCGAGCAGATTCGATTATGCTCTGTGTGGTCATGATTGTCATGATAAATGTAACGACCAGCAAATGTAAGCAGCGAATGATACTTATCCCGATCTTGTGAGAGCGTCGCCCTTACAAATGGAATATACTGAAAGTATGGATGCGTCGGAAAAATAGTTGGAAATGTCAAATCATTTGGGTTTAAACACATTGAAAATATAAATGGTGAGTCTTGCATATGTTTGACTGAATACAGTCTTTATCCCATGATCAAAATAAATCTGTTTCTTTCATTAAACTTACACAAGAAATGATTCCGAAGAGGCAAGTGGACGGAAGGAACTTTCCCATCTCCCCTTGCATACTGTAATAGTATGCGGTGTATATAACAAGCACGCCATAAGTGCTAACAACCGCAAATGAGCAGTAATAGTACCAGTGAATTGTCTGATCTTCTTGATACAATGGTACGCCAACTAGGTTGGATAAAATTTTCCCAAAGGTATATAAGTAACACCATTTCTGATTTGGAGTTTTTTTACTCCAATCAGTTCTGATGGTTAGGTGGCTTCTAATAAAAGCGAACGTCGGAAGTAGTTTTAAGTTCTCATTCAAAATCATTTCATAAAATATGGTTGGGGAAACAAATCAGGACAAATAGCTGGATTTATTGAAACGCAGGGACGGTGGTGTACAAGTAGCTAATTTTCACTATTGATTGAATATCACATTCATAAATCTTTGCAATTTAAATACTGAGTTTTCACAAGGTTTAAGTTTTATCACACGAAATTATTGTTTCAATACGAATTTTAATTATTTTGGGTGAATATTCTTTCAAATTTTTATTATTATTTCCGTTCAAATTGTCTATATTGACCAAGTTATTTCCAATGTTTATGTTTTGTTCTTCAGCAAATCTGCAAGCATTTACGATTGCATTCCAATGAATACTAAACTTGTATCCATTTGTGCCGTTTTATTTGAAACTCACCACCATAATATCTTATGTATAAAACCGACCATGTCAATTATAAAGCAATTATGATCGAATCAGTCTGGAATATGTTAAATTGCATAAGAAAATCAAATTATAGCTGAAAAATCAATAGAAGAAATGATATTGAAAATTTTTCCATAGAAAGTGTATAATTAAAATAAGTATAATTATATATGAGGCTGTGAGAATGAAAATGGCAATACAGGAATAAACATTCTGAAGCGCATCAAGAAAAAAAAATTCGCAAAAGTGAATCATGAGTTCTGAATACGCAAAAGTGAACCATGAACCTCCTATGCTTCCATGTAAATTCATGTTTCACTTTTGCATATTCAGAACTCATGATTCATTTTTGCGATTTTTTTTTCTTGATGCGTTTCAGAATGTTCATTCCTGTATTGCCATTTTCATTCTCACAGCTACATATGTATGTGTCGCTGAGCATAAAAATAGGAATACAGATCTGATCCAGAAAGAACGAAATATGAAAAAGTTTATTCTAGAATAAAATATTTCTCGAACAGATCTGTATCCCCATTTTTATGCTCAGCGACACAATATATAATATGTGTGTCGTTGGAAGAATACAAATGGGATCAGCCGAAACCGCTCGTTTACATGTGAATCATTTTCATCAATGTTTTAAAACATTTCAAGATCTTCATCTTTGCTTGAGATATTTGCCTCGTATCTCGTACCAGAAACACACAAATGATTCGCATAAAAACACGCGGTTTCGGCTAATCCCATTTTTATTCTCAACGACACATGTGAGAACGTAATAATTATTTTTCTTATCACTGTCATTGTTGTAATTGCCGGGTGCATTTGATGCATACGCTCATAGTGACAGTTGATGTATGAAATGAAATATTTTTAATTGTCTTCACGACATCAGTCATCGACTGTCCATGAAAAGTTTATCATCAAATTATGCGAAATTGTGCATATGTCATATCACCCGTTGGATTACCAAACTATCTAAGCTACCAAGTGGGGCCAAGTAGTTTGAATTTCCCACTCAAAACCATTTCTTCAAATATGGATGGGGAAACAAATCAGGTCAAATAGCTGGATTTATTGAAACGCAGGAACGGTGGTGTACAAGTAGCTAATTTTCACTATTGATTGAATATCACATTCATAAATCTTTGCAATTTAAATCTTGAGTTTTCACAAGGTTTAGTTTTTATCACACGAAATTATTGTTTCAATACGAATTTTAATTATTTTGGGTTAATATTCTTTCAAATTTTTATTATTATTTCCGTTTAAATTGTCTATTTTGACCAAGTTATTTCCAATGTTTATGCTTTGTTCTTCAGCAAATCTGCGAGCATTTACGATTGCATTCCAATGAATACTAAACTTGTATCCATTTATTTATTTTATTTATTTATTCACCGTCTAATCACAGACTGAATAGCATAATACAATTCGTACACATTCAAAAATTTTACACAAGCAGTGACACACCCCGAATCGGATCACCTAGCCACCAGCCCTAATGACTTCGAAGTGGCGTTCTGCGGTGACCGATTGTGTTCACCACCTCTAAAAATATAGTTCCTCAAATACATTGTTGTCTAAATTTGCTACATTTCTATTGAATATTTGTCTCGATGCTGAGTCCAAAAACGTTTATCTTACTTTATTGAAATACCTACACGCTAAAATAAACGGTTGGTTACGGGCGTAGTCAGTCCCATAAGTCTCAATTCGAACTAGATCTCTGTTTCTCACATTTCTTTGGTATATACAATTTTTTCTCTTAGTGCAGCGCTAATCGACTTTCCTTATAGGAGATCATGAATTAAAAATACTGAGGCATTTATACGCCGCCTCCAAAGCGGTTGAATATTCAAATTATCACATCTTAATTGGTACGATGGCAATCTGTAGTTAGCATCTTTTTGGTAAATTCCCCTAAGTGCCCAGATTACAAAGTCTTTCTGTACTGATTCAATTTTGTTAATGTATGACTGGTGACACTAGCATACTCCAATTTCGATCGAACTAAGGCACAATATAACAGTTTTGCTGATTCTATAGTAAACTTGTGTTTCAGTGTCCGCTAAATAAAACCTAATGCTCCGTAGGCGCTAGCTACTGTTGTATCAATGTGGTTGGCGAATGTGAGTTTCACGTCAAAAATGACCCCCAGGTCTCTGTCGAAACATTTCTTCAGATTAAGGTACAGCTTGTTGAGCATACACCATTCGTGCAATTGGTCAATGGCCATTTGGAATAAGCGGGCATCATTCGGTGACGTGATTCTCAAAATGAGTTTTAAAATGAGTTTTAAATCATCTGCGAACAACAAAACAAATGCATGAGTAACAAAGTTGACAATGTCATTTATAAAAACAATAAAGAGACAAGGTCCCAAGATACTTGCAGCTGGTACACCGGACGAGACGGTGAAAGTTCTTGACTTTCTGTTGCCGATTCTAACAAACTGTGTTCGGGTTGTCAAATATGCATGGAACCATTTGACAAGTCTTAAGACTTGGGCGAATTCGCCCAAATCCGAGTCTTGCCAGCTTTTGCAGAAGCCTCTTGTGGTTGACTCGATAGAATGCCTTCTCAAAGTCGGTGTACAGTACGTCGGTTTGACATTTCGCTATCATTGAGTCCATAGTGTAGTTCACCATTTGCAGCAAATTCGATGATGTTGACCGATTATTCACAAAACCGTGCTGGTTATAGACTATTTTACCGTTCACAAATGCTTTAATTTTACTGTTCACAATACTTTCAAACACCTTCGCTATTGTTGGTATCATGACAACAGGTCTGTAGTTCGATGCAATGCTCTTTTTGCCAGATTTAAAAATCGGCACAATTCTCGAATTTTTCAAAATACTCGGCACTATTCCCGCTTGTAATGACTTATTGAACAACTTTGATAACGGTGTAGCGAGTGAATACGCGCAATTTTTGAGTAATTTCGGTGAAATGCCATCAGGGCCAGCTCATTTGTTCACATTGATCGAAAGCAGTGCCTTCAATACATCAGCCTCGTTCTTTTCGATGTCAAACGCATTATCACCACATTCACTTAGCAAGTTATCCAAATCAATGTCATCACTCGGTGTGTATTGGCTTTCGAAGAAATCCGCAAATAACTCCGCTTTCCATGTGTCACTACTGGCTGCATGGTTGTTGTACTCAATAATCGATGGTATGTCATTGCGTTTGCGCCTGTCGTTCACAAACCTCCAGAAGTGTTTCGGATTTGACTTGATGTCCGATTGTATGCGGGTGATGTATGACTGGAACAACTGACCCTGTAACGCTACGAAGGAATCAGTTAGAGTCATATAATAAGCGAAATTGTTTGTGGCCTTTGCCCGTTTTGTGTGCCTTTCTTCTCAAATTATTCAAGTGTTTCAGATTTTTGTTGTACCACGGTGGATCTGTGCTGTTTTCAACGGTGACTTTTGGGACGAATTTGTCCATTGCTTCATGTACAACATTCTCAAACATCTGAAACGAATTTCCAATGTCGTCCTGCCGCCCAACTTCAGAAGAAATATCTCTCCCAACAAAGAATTCATTCATCGCCACAAAATCAGCCGCTTTATACTTGTAAAACTCAGTTACGTCATTTAGTTCACTTTCATTTTCATCAATTGTGATTTCAACCTCGATCGCTTTGTGCCACACATCAGTTTCTATCAACGGTGTCAGCGACTCCGCAAGCGATAAATCGTAGAATTTGTTTGTGAATACGAGATCCAAAACATTGCCGGCAGCATTTTCAAGATTGCACATTTGATGGAAACCGCAACCGAGCATTGTATCAATGACAGCTACACCACCTTCCGTTTTCATATTCATTGGCAGGTAGTAATCACCGTCGTCCGCCTTAATCCACTTGACTCCCGTCTGATTAAAATCACCACACACAATTACCGTGTCATTATCATCATATTTAATTTGTGCCGTTTTATTTGAAACTCACCACCATAATATCTTATGTATAAAAAATAAATATATTATAAAAATTATAAAGCAATTATGATCGAATCAGTCTGGAATATGTTAAATTGCATAAGAAAATATCGAACTAAATCAAATTATAGCTGAAAAATCAATAGAAGAAATGATATTGAAAATTTTCCATCGAAATCGGGTGTAAATTAAATAAATATGATTACATATGTGTCGCTGAGCACTAAAATGTGAATACAGATCTGATCCAGAACGAACGAAGCATGAAAAAGTATATTCTAGAATAAACTATGTCTGAAACCGATCTGTGTTCCCATTTTTATGCTCAGCGACACATATATGAACGTAAATCGAACTCTATTGCAAATAGTTTTTGGTACATAACCATAGAAATAATTGAACGTGATATGAAAGGTATCTATAGCGGTTTTTACCGATCACCGGATACGAACCCAAATGAATCGATCAATATGATAAACGAATACATTGAAACTAACGCAAATATTAACAAATTGAATGTCATAGCAGGTGATATTAATTTTGACTTTTCGAAAACCAGCCAAAGAATAGTAAGAAATTGTCAATGGGAGAACTTCGAAATTTTTGGTATAGATGATAAAACAGAATTAATTAGATCGAATGTGAAGGCCTCAGTTGAGCCTATGGTCAAACTTGTGACAGTGAAGGATAAGAAACTGAAGTTAACTTGGTTTGATGATGAATTAAATGAGTTAAAATCTGTAAAAATAGAACTCTACAATAATTGGAAAATGAATAAAACTGATTTGAATTGGTCGAGTTAACAAAAGAAACGAATATAACAAATTGATAAAACAAAAAAAGAATGATGCAATTAAAGATGAAATTGTTAGAGCAGGAACCGATCAAAAGAAAATGTGGAAAAGCTTAAATAAACTTCTTCCAAGTAAAAAGGCTAAATTTAGCGATGAAATAATTTTCGATGACACTACAAGTACAGATATTGACGAAATAAGTGAAAAATTTATCACCTTCTTTATAGACAGCATAAAAGACATAAATTTGCAAATTCCAAATGTTCCTGCACTGGAAATTGCACTGGTAATGAAAATATTTTTAAATTTAAAGAAGTCTCTATTGGAGAAATTACTAAGGCATCAAAATACCTAACGAAAAAAGTGAATAAGAGTCAATTGTGTAACTCTAATGTGTGGTTCGACTCTATGGAATATATCGGCCATTTTCTGACCAAAACAATAAACGAATCGTTGAAGAATGGAATTTTCCCAAGTCAATGGAAAATTTCTACTGTAACACCCATTCCAAAAATTTCAAATACAAATATTGCCTCGAATTTTAGACCGATAAATCTATTGACTAGATCGAGAGGAGAGTAAGTTCATCTGACTTTGTTGTGAAAGAGAAGAGTAA